CTGGTTAAGCGGGACTTTTGGTGGCCCTCTATGGGTACCTATGTCCGTAAATATGTTGAAGGTTGCACCCTCTGCCAGCAGATGAAATCCAATACCCACCTAACAACTCTGCCCCTTGTTCCTATTCTGTCTGTTGCTGCAGTGCCCTTCACCCAGGTCTCCATTGACCTTATCACTGACCTCCCTCCCTGTGCTGGTTTTGATTCTGTTATGGTCATGGTAGACCATGGGCTTACGAAGGGGGTAATTCCTATCCCTTGCACAAAAACTATCACTTCTGAAGGGGTTGCCAAGAAAATTTTCAAATATGTCTACCACTGATTCAGCCTACATGAGAAAGTCATTTCTGATCGTGGACCACAATTTGTATCAAAATTCTCAAAAGCCCTTGCCAAGCTTTTGAAATACAATATAGTTGCATCAACCACTTATCATCCCCAGACTGATGGTCAAACCAAACATCTTAATCAAGAACTTGAAACCTATCTCCGGATCTATTACCGAAATCATCCCAAAGATTGAGTAGAACATCTCCCAATGGCAGAATTCATGCACAACCATCGGAAACATGACTCCCGTAACACCTCACCATTCTTCCTGATGATGGGATATGAACCAAGAGCCCTTCCTCACGTACTCCCTGACTCTACTGTCCCTGCAGCAGAAGATAGACTTCGCTCACTCCAGAAATCAAGAGAAGAAGCACTGTCCTGCCATAACCTCGCTATGCAGCAAATGGCAGAATGAACTCATGGACAAAAATATCACCCATGGAAGATAGGAGATAAGGTTTGGTTATCAGGGAAGAACTTGATCATGCAGCTACCATCATGGAAACTTGCACCAAAACGATATGGCCCTTTTTCTATCACTGCAGTACTCTCTCCCATCACTTTCACACTCCAGCTCCCACCACAGTGGAAGGTTCACCCCATGTTCCATGCTTCTGAACTATCGTCCTATCACGAGACAGAGGTCCACAGCCCAAACTTCCATGATCCACCCCCAGACGTCATCGATAGTGAAGAAGAATACGAGATCAATGTGATCTTATCACACAAAGGCACAGGTAAACGAAGACACTATCTCTTATCCTGGAAAGGATACTCTTCCACTAGTAATGAATGGGTCCCAGAAGAGAACCTTAGCAATGCTATCAACATCCTTGCTGCATATAAGAAGGCTCACAAATTGTAACCCCAGAACAATGTCTCTTGAATGCCTATGCCTCTGCATACAATGCATTGAAGAACTCACTGCTGCTATGAACACCGTATCCAAAAATATTACCAACCCATTGTCCCTTCTTGACTACCAAACCACCACTGCTGTCGACCTTGCCAACAATGCATCCTCCCCAGTAGTTTCCCCACCTTCATCCAACTCTACTCTGACCAGTGACTCTACCCTCACTGATTACTTCACAATCATTGATCAAGTCAAAACAAGCACTCTGTTCGAATCTGCTCTTACATCCCAACAATATGCTATCAAGATAGATCATCTCCTGGGAGAAAGAGGAGCGATCTCTAGTGGACTCATTATCCAAATCATCAGGGACACTAGCCTCATAGAACAAACTGCTAACCTTCTTGACAATGAACGTCACAAAACCATATTCCGCCACCTTCATATATGCATTTGTAATACTGCAATTCGTCTGTTGCTTGATGATACTAGGGAAGCTATCAGGGAAGCTATCCACATTGTCACTGAGCAGATCACTACAGACCTGGTTGCATGACCCCCATCCTCACACATTGCCATTCCAATCCCACTGCCAATTCTTTTGACAGCTACCATTGAGCATTTGGATGATAATATCCCTCCTATTGCTGTACTTGATGTACCAGCTTCTCCTTCTCCTACCCCCATCACACCCACTACATGTCAGTACCCTACTAGATGCAGATCTGCCCATATTGCCAAACAAATGGCATTGGCCTCCCCACACAGAAACCGGAAGTGACGATCTAGATCACCATCTCCACCTGCACAGTTGTCCACCATCACCACTGTGAAAACAGCAACCATCGACAACATAGTGTGTCACAACTGTCACATTGCCAGGCATCGCCATAAGAACTGCCCAGCGTACTATTGTCAGGTTTGCAAAGAGTATGCACCCAGGCATCTATCAGTCTTTTGCAAAGACTTGAAGGGAGAAGCAGTTATTCCACTGGTTTGGACTGACACAGGTTTCTATGAGGCTCTCACTTGTTGGGAGATTGAACAGATTACATCATGACTGCACAATGCAGTGCCATCACTAGACTTATCTTCCATATTTGTATTACATTGCAATCACCACAGCCATCGTTAGATGACTCATCTCTTATCTCTGACTCGTCTCTTATCTCTGACTTGTCCTTTATCTCTGACTCATTGCTGACGTACATGTACCTGCCCTAAAGTCACTTACGTCCTATATATAGTCAACTATGTACTTAGTAGTTCCTTACTTTAATCTTACTAGGTTTTCACCTGGATATTCTTTCACTTAAGACCTCCAATCTTAAGTCGTCTAAGACTGATATTCAAGACAGAGACACTCTCTTTGTCTTGTCTTATGACCCTTACATTTGTAAGGCCTTGATTCAATTTCAACCATCACTCTTATTGAGCTGTTGATGTTGCGACTATCCTAGTTTGTAACATCTCCTAGTAACTGTTCCACCACATTCAAGGCCTCATGTGTGGTGATAACCCCCACATTACTCTGCCTTGTTGTTTCTTTCTCTCCCGTGGTATGTTCCCTATCCCTTGTTAACTGTTCTACCTTGTCTTGTGCTTGTTTACCACTCTCCACTCTTAGCCACAGTTTCTTCACCCATTTCCTATCTTGACACTGTTGTTGATGTCCCATCAGTCTCCATTGCCCCATTGGAACATAAGGCAAGCATGATGTTTGTGTATGTTCCACTTTGCCATTAGTCTCATGTGTTCCGCTCTCACTAGGATTTGTTAAGACTTGCCTCAAGGGGGGTATTTTCAAGCCCCCCACTGCGTTCTCCTACTGCTTATTGTCTAGGGTCAAACTCTCCTCCTCATTTGATGTGTTTGTGATTTGATTGTTTAATGTGACTTCCTTGTGCTGATCCTCGATACTGATAGTGTCCATTTCATATTGATGTCTTGCTTTGAATGCCTGTAACATTGGCTTTCCAAAAAGGAATCCCCATCCTCCACCACTATCAAACACCTTGAATTCTCCCTTCACTCATATGCCTTCAATCTCTATCATTCCTGCCCATTTTGCCAATGAACTGACTATATTCCCATTTGTCATTCATAGCTGCCATTTTGACTGGTTCCAGTTGTGCAAGTGATCCTACCTGTGATATTACTGACCTCTTGCTAAACAAAGAGCATCATTCATTTTTGGTGGACATGGCTGAATCATCCATTGGGCAGCTGACTATCGATACATTGATGGAAGGCTTCATTGGAATTGGTGGCTTCAAGACTGCGAATACCAGATGGCTCACACTCACAGCTCCTTCCAGGACTGGTCTTGGATCAGTCACTCATCATAAGGTTGTGGTCAAGTGTCTGTTCAAAAAAGTATTTCCAACTACTGTGAAGGCTGGACCTTATAAAGTTGGTCAGTATTTGCTCATTGACAAGCTATGGAAGCTATTCAGAGAGGCCAACATCTTATACTGGTCTAAATCTTTATTAAAGCTCACATATGACTTTATCAATCATTCCATTGCATCCTTACCTGAACCCCAGTGAAACCCAGTTATGTTGGGATGAGCCTCAATAGGTTGAGATGTGTCATTCAGGCAGGACACATATAAGAACACATGAGTCCACAGCGCCCCATACTCAGACAGTGTTAATAAGATGGGGCAGTGTCCTATATGTTTCCATGTGTGTACTTTCACATCAAGCACACCTAAGCACATCCGCCAGCAGTTCCACTACCTTTGCATATATACTCAAATAGTATCACACATGTCTCGAAGTTGTTGTGCAATAACTGGTATTATTTGTGGCCGCTACAGGAATAGGGTATAGAAAAGTGCAAAAACACATTGAAAAGCAGTCAAAAACATCATAAAAAGGGTAGCAATGAGACCAGCATTGAAGGGAGCAGCACTGTGATTGAAGAGACCAATTGAGAGACAACCAGCAGGGAATAGAATGGCAGGAGGACATGCTAAACCAGCAGAGGAAGCAATTGAAAGCACCATGACATTGAGGACTGCAGGGGAAACCAGTGGGAAGACAGCAGTGGAAAAGTGCATGACAGGTTGTCATATCCGCATATCCAGATCTCAGATCCGACCCTTATCTCATCTCAGATCCACATCTTATCTCTGATCCTATCCACATCTTATCTCCCTCTAACATCTCGTCATCCAATCTGTTCCACTCATCTGGTCCACAATTCATCCGAATCCACAACCAGCACTCATCTCCTTTTGGTAACCCCCTAACTCTGGTATTTCGGTTATCTGTATATCTGTCCTGCTCCCTTATCTGCTACCTATGTTTCATTTCCGTTTCATGATTTGTGATCTGTTTCTACTTACCAATAGACTATCCACATGCTTTGTACATAGCCTCGGACTCTGCTGATTGATCATTCTGTTAGATACCTATAGTATATAACCTTCTGTAACTTTCTGTAGTACCTCAGTTCAAATATCATCTTAGTTCTACTCATTCCTGTCCTCCAGACTTGAGTACCTCTACTCTCATCAACCCTCCAAGACTTAGGATTGATTCCTATAGTCTATCCATATCAGCCTCTGTCCCCGACAGTCCATTACCATTAGTTTCTAGTCTGGACTCGTCCGGATTAGCCTTATGATACTTATCCCTCATCCAGAAGTTATCCAGATCTGTTACGCTACTCGTCCAACCTTCCAGATGCGCTAGTCTTGCCTTCCTGAAATAAGGGGCAATACTTGGGTAAGGGGCACAGCGCACAAGCTGAGGCTGAAGCCCTTCAGATCCAGTTACCCTTTGAGTATGACCTTAACACAGGTCTAGTAGACTGTGCCCTCAGAAATGGCAGTCCTGCTCCACATACTGTTCTTCAACTACAGAAAGTCAGTTACATGGCATTAAGCACAAGAGGCTGCAAAATCACCAAGGTATTAACCTCATTGCTATAATTCTAGAGAGCAGATAAGTACAAGCTTGTGACAGAACACCCAACAACATACCTTAACTTGAGCCAGTGTCAGCTTGTTGAAGTAATCACTAAATTTGTTGGTAGTGCTGTTCGTGTTGATTTGCTTGAGCCAACGCAATGCACACAAGTTTCTGTTATGAACTAGGATGGTCATAACAACAGCAGCTTGATAAGAGCAACAGTTGAAGTTATAGTCAAGACCTTGCAAATGCAAGGGTTGTAAGACAAGGCAAAGAGAGTGTCTTTGACTTGAATATTGGTTCAAATGACTTGGGATTGGAGGTCCTAAGTGAGAGAAGATTCAGATGAAAACCTAGTAAGATTAAAGTGAAGAACTACTGAGTACATGGTCAACTATATATAGTGAACCATAGGTAGTTCAGGGCAGGCATAGGTCAAGATGAGTCAGAGATAAGAAAGGATGCATAAGTGATAAGAATGAGTCATCTAGCAATGGCAATGGTGATCGTGATGTAATACAAGATATCAGAAGAAGTCTAGCAGCGGCACTATGCAGCTCATGACATAATACAATGAAGATAATCAAGAAAATGAATAGGGGCACATGTGACTGTAACAGTTTCTATGATCAAAAATGAGTATGAAAAACAATGTAAACAGTGCACTTACCATCCATTTTCCTTGGGGCCAGGATGCATCTTTTTCACCTTGGCTGGCTTGGCTTTTATAACAGTCGATGCCTTGGTAATGGCAGAGTCATTGTCTATTTTCTCAGGTGCAAGATTGAGTGAAGAATTAACTGCAGGAATGGGAGAAGGTGGCAAAGGTATGAGCTTGGCAGTCACAGCAGCTTGTGCAAGTGTGGCACTAGTATTTTGGTTCAAATCAGTACTGAACAGCCAGAATGTGCGTGACTTACAGTGGATTAACTACAATTTTTACAGGTTTCAGAGAGCAGATGCTCATCTCAAGCTGCAGTGAGTTGCTGGCACTGCTACTAGTACTGGACTGCAGAGGTAAGTCTTCCTTCTCGGCCCTGTGGGTTGAGCCTTTGGTGCATATGGGTTCAGGGGACTGTTAGAGGGAAGTATCTGGTGCTGGGCAGCTGCTGGAGGTGCTGCAGCTCAGGCAGAGGGGTTGGGGAGTGCTGGAGTTTCAGATTCTAGGGGTGTGTAGTACAGGTCTTGTGGGTTTGTTAGTGGTGCATCTGGCAGAGCTGGCACAAGGGCTTGGAGTTGCAGAGAAGACTGTGTAGGAGTGGACTTGGATGAAGGCAGGGGTGTTGGTAGCTGCACACTCTCCAAGCCAATCAAATCAACTATAATGGAATTATCAATAGTGAGAAACAACTAAACAAAATTGAACCTTTAATTTTTTTTCAGTCTATTCAGGGACTTCAGATTTGAACTCAAGTTTTTGTTTACCTTTCAAACTTGAGGATTTCTCATCACTGTCACTGCTGCTTCCCTTTCGATAGTTGCCAGACTCATCAAGGTTGTTCCTGTGCCAAGAAGCATAGGACGCTGTGGTGAGGTAGTCAAGCTTCCAACCATTGTCAGCAAGTCAGAATAGAGGAAAGGCCTTTTCCATAATCGTGTTTGTCAGCTCAGCAGCTGATGCTGTCATTCTACCCCAAGACAATGGTGTCAGTCCACAGATTGCAAGTTCTGTCCACATCGCTTGCAATGCCTTTCGGATGGCTTCAATTATTGACTCTATGATCAATTCACCATGCTCATCCTTGAGAAAGGGCAGTTTTCCACAATTGTGACCATCACCTCCAGCTGAATTGAGCCATTTGAGGGAGCCAGCCTTGGTCCAAAATTTAATGTTTGGGTGTGTCTCACAGTTCAGACAGTTAGAATCATTGGCAGATGGGCATAGGAGTGCTGGACTGGCAGCAAGTGGATCCTTATTGTGAAGCTGTACAGCACTTGCAAGCTGCTTGAAGTTTGCCCTGCCAAACAACATTTACTCAGTTAATTGGTAGACTGTTCAAGTGCAATTACATCACAGTATCACATTCAGTGGTGACCTTGACCAGCTGAAGCTCAAGTGACTTGCAATATTCCCACAAAGCCTGTAATTGTTGGTTTTCATGCATATATGTACCCTAAAAACATGAAGTGTGAAAAAAGCAATCAAAATGAGCTTACAAAGTTTGGCTGAGGGTCCTTGGGTAACGACATAATAGAGCCAGATACAGGTGATAGGGGGGAAAGGCCATAATCACCTCCCCAATGTGGATTTTGCAAGCAATGTTGGCCTGAGCTGCCTGGTGGATAGTTAGATTGCCTGCCATTGGAAAACAGAGTGCTGCCTTCAAACATGCTAGACAGGTTAACATGGTTAGAGAGAAAGGCAAACCCTTCTATGAAATCATATCACAACTCTGCCAGACTTTTCTAGCAAATTGTCAAATTGTCAAAGTCCATAGCACTCCATATATATGGAATACAAAAAATGAGACTACTCAACATCTACACCACCTACATCCTCCTGGTCCTCCTCATTGTCATTATCACATACTTCAAGTGTCAAAATATCCAACCCAGGTTTTTCTAGCATGAAAAACTGATCTTCTGTAACTCCTGATGGTAGTGTAGGCTTGTGTGGGATCATCACTACAACACTGGCGATGTTTTTGACATTGGTAACAGTGAATTCATCTAGCTGGATGCAGGATACAACTGTTTGTGAGAAGACTTCAAGAAGCTCCTTGTCTGGAAGTGAGTACAGCTGGAGAACAACCACATCTGTATATTGCCATTCATCATCTGCACCTAAGTTTGCCAACCTCATGAAATATACAACTTCACTGTAACGTATTTGGCCATTGAGTTGTAGCTATAGTGAGTGGATCAGTAAGGTGCAGCAAGGTATAATAATTTACAACCAAAGCACACCTTTACATTATGTGACATTCATGTCTTCTCAAGAGGTTTAAGTGCCTCTCTCCAATGTGATTATGTGATCTGTCCATTTGGGAGGAGTAACCATGCTCACCATCTAATGCAAGGGACAACTTGCCCATTACCCAAAAAATTTGCAATGGCTACTGCATGGTCACCAACAGATATGCAACAGATCTATCACATTTGTGAAGTAGGGCATATCCATCTCTGATGTTGACAGCACCATTGGGGAGACCTTTTGGAGCTTCATCAAGCTCTGGTATTACCGAAAGAAGAGTGTTGACTTGGAGTATGGCCCACTCCCATTCGTCCACATCATCACTCTGACTGCAGTCAATGGTCCCATGCCAGAGACCAATTAATAGGTCACTAAGGTTTCCAGCAAGATGCATGATATCTGTCATCATGCAGTGAGGGACACCAAGGCAGTGTGAGGGATTAAGACCAAGAATTAATGGAGGTTTTGTAAGCCCCATCTGTGTCTTCTGAATCTCCCATTGGTGCTGAGTAGGAGATGTGACAAGGTGATGCAAGTTGTCTGCATACTCCTCCAATCCTCCAAGTGGGATTGCAAAGATGTTGATATCAGCATGATCACTGCCGGTGGCACAGTGATCCAATGGCTTAAGTAGTGCAGGGTAGTAGTGAGTCCCTCAGGTTTTTCATCTTCCAGTCACTCCACAATACATGTGGCAGCCATTTTTACCACTATGTCCAACCATACCATTCCAATATACTAGTCCAGGGCCATTGGCTGTC